TCTTACTTCCTACTTCTTACTGCTTACTTCCAATGTAGACGTCCCTTTACCCGAACTCACAGCACTACTCTCAAACTTTCAAAAAAAGAGTTAAAGCTAATTTATGATGGCCGTAATCCGTTAACTTATGCCGGAACCGTAAAAAATTGATCAATCATAGTCGAATTATAGAAAAATAATCGATATATTTGGCCTTCAGGCCAAATCACACTAGCTATTGGCGATTGATGATTGACGATTGAAGATTGGAACTTGACTAATTGGAACAAAGCAAGCCAAGGTTGAAGCTCCTTGATTCGTCAAAATCTAATCTTCAATCGTTAATCGTCAATTGTCAATTGCTAGTGTGAAGTAGATTTGGCCTTTAAAGCCCGTGTCACATTACGAATTGAAAATTGATTGCGGATTGAAGATTAGATTTCGATGAATCAGTACACTTTGGTCTTAGCCTGCTTGGCTCCAATTGGTCAGATTCCAATCTTCAATCCTCTATCTCCAATTCGTAGTGTAACACGGGCTTATGTCTATCCCCTTGTCCACAATCTTGCTTTAATTCTTAATTAAGCCGTAAATTGACCAAGCACAATTGATTATTTTTAAAATAAAAGTAAATGCAACGTGGTAATTACTTGTCGCGGTAAAACCCGCAGCACCTGCTAGCGTGAGAACTATGCGATTTAATTCGTGTTAATTATCGGCTTAATTACGGTAAAGTCAAAATGCGGTATTAAAAATCAGCGCGAAAAAATTTAGAAAATAAATACGCGGCAGCTTCCGATGTACTCGTCTCAACGGTAGAGAACCTTTAGTAAAGAATCGCCAACATGGTCATGTGACCAGCTGATTGGCTGGCATAAACATGGTACGGATTTAGGGAGCGTCCCGATTGCCTACAGTACGATTGTACACAAATTAATCCGTATAACATAACATGTTACAAACTAATTCGTATGTGATAGTATGACAAATCTAACGTTATGGGGGTGATTTTGGGATGTTGGAAAAATATTTTCAAGGTACTGGGTGTACTACAGAGTCACACAAACACCAGTTGTCAACCCTGAAACGATACAGAACGAAATAAGCATATCCGACGTAATTTTCGAAAATAGACATTTTCAAAGGCGAATGTTTCTTTAGAAAACCCTAAAAGACTATTCCAAATAGTGCTCTCTACGCTAACGCAAAATAACTTATAACCTACCATTACATAGCCTACATTCGGTCTATGCGCAGAATTAGTACCACTGTGCATGCGCGAGGATCCGTATGTGCTACTATGCCGAATCAAAAGTTATGGGGGTGATTTTGGGATGTCGGAAAAATATTTTCAAGGTACTGGCTGCGCTACAGAGTCACACAAACACGCGTTGTCATCCCGGAAACGATACAGAACGAAATAAGCATATCTAACGTAATTTTCGAAAATAGACATTTTTAAAGGCGAATGTTTTTTTAAAAAAACACTAAAAAACTATCCGAAATAATGCTCTCTACGCTAATGCGAAATAACTTATAACCTACCATAAAATAGCCTACTTTCGGCCTATGCGCAGAATAAGTACCACTGTGCATGCGCGAGAATCCGTATGTGCTACTATGACGGATCTAACGTTATGGAGGTGATACAGGGATGCTGCGTGAACTTAGCGCACCTTTTTTTGAAAGTCTATTTTTATGTATTTAATGACCGGAACTATATAAAATTGTTGCATAGAGCTCTAGAACTTTTCAACAGAATATCAGAACTCTAAAAAAAATTTCACATTTTTAAATATGGTGTGCCAAGTCTTGGGTGAACTTGGCACACCATATTTAAAAATGTGACATTTTTTT